TTGGGCAATCGCCACTAACACTCCAGTATTTCCTCTTCACCTGTACAAAAGCCACTGCTCTAAAATAGAAGAAATGCTACAAATAGATTTCACCTTCAAAAGTGTAATCATCCTTGGAGATTATAGTAATGTAAACTGGGCCAATGGTTTATCTTCTGAACAATTTATGAATACGTCGTCTAAAGCAAACCTGACTTACTAGTCAAAAAAGCTTGTGATAAATTAGTGCTTGTGATAGACAGAGCGATACCATCTACCTTTAGAATTACTATTTCCCGTACATAAGGATTGATCTACTAGTAATAAAAGACATACGTGATTTTAGTGCAATATCTTTCGATCTATGTGCAGTCGATTTGGAATTTCAGTTTAGTATTTTATCAACTGATGATTCTTTCTTGTCTTTTTTCAGTTTTCTACAATCACAAATTGCTAAAATGTGCAGCTCATAGACGGTATAAATTTACTCTAAGTTCTAGTGACTATAGCAGGCATTTTCTGATCTAAGAATGAAGTGTAAGTGCTTAACAAATCAAGTGCATTCAGATTATATCAATATTGAAAAATCTATTAGAAATATACGTAGAATAAATAAATTGTGGAACTATTTAGAAGCAAACTTGCTATTGCTCCCATTTTAGTTTCCCTATCTACAGGATTTTTTTCTTATGCACTAAACAGTAGTTGTATAGTTCCAGCTTTTAAAAGTAGTATTTAGGTCCAGGTTTAAAAGTAATATTTGTAATTATAGGGCCAATTTGTACACAACCTGCTTTAGGCAAAGTTTTTGAAAGTATATTAAATTTTGTAGACCCAATATTTAAAAAAGTTATTATCCCAAATCAACAGAGTTTTCATCCACAAAGATCTAGATTAACAAACTTACTTATATTTCAAGATTATATATCACAATCTTTTTCCTAAGAACTACAAGTTGATTGCATTTACACTGACTTTTCAAAAGCTTTTGGTAGTGTTTATCGTACGATTCTATTAGAAATTAGAAAAATTAGGCATATGGTAACTTATTACGTTGATTTGCATCCTATTTATTAGGTCGAGTGCTTAAAATTAAATTAAATTCGGTATTATCAGTTTTCTAGCTACTTCTGAAGGTCCTTATAGGTCACACTTAGGACCTTTTCTGTTTAAAATCTATGTCTCTGATTCTCTTCCATCTGTCATCACCTTACTTTTTGCAGATGATTTAAAAATATTCCGAAACATTTATTCTGTTTCTGACTGGTTACAACTGCAACATGACTTAGTAAAACTTAATTGGTGTTCAACTAATAATATTCTTTCAACTTCTGATAAGTTTTCAGTTATGACTTGCCATAAAATAACATATCCTATCAAATTTAAGTACGTTCTATCAGACTCACTCCTAATTAGACGTGAAATGTCAAAGACGGCATCATTATTGACAGTCAGATAAACTTTCACAACACATTAATGAAACTATTGCTAATGCAAATAAAACTTAAGGATTTATTACATGTCATACTAAACATTTCCATGATCCAGATATACTTAAAATTTTGTACACTTTCACTGTAAGACCAGATTACTGTTCATTGCTTTGTGCTCCCTTTCAATCCACTCATATCGCTTGTCATCTTTTTATCTTAGCTCCACGCAAGGCAAGCTACGAATATTTTTATATACTAAACCGGCGTTATATACACTAAACCAACAATACCGATCAATTGTGCGTTATGGTTGATCTATAGTTAAAAGATTTTTTTTTTTGTAAATAAAACTGAGTTAAATAGATTGAAATTCTTTTTATTCAAAAAAAAAAAAAAATAACACATACAAATTAATGTTTAAATAATTTATATATATTTATATTTTTTGGGACGATCTTACTAAAAGTTGACCAGTATGTTTACAAATTTGAGGAGGGTAAACCAGCCTGTACTAACCTAATGAGCCTATTAAAGCATATTTACCGTTAAATAAATAAATATATAGATATACGAATGAATAAATAAATATGCGCTCCATATTTGACAGCCAAGAATTTTCAGGCTTAATGTCTTGAGTGCCTGGAAGCGGTTTTGGACCTGAACAAGTTTGCTTAAAGTTGGAACTGTTGATTTTGTGGCGCATTCGGGGCAAAAAGGGCTGTTGGACGGACCTTTTGAATTTAAAGAGGTATGCCAAGAAGTTGCCACGACCAATCAAGGTTTGCGTGGCCCAGAAATTTGGAGATACCCACTTCGCTCATACCCTCTCCTCGATGTTTGGTGCTTCTAGGAATACTTTTGCTCCAACTTTGTAACTTTTGTGACCAAGGGGTACCTCTATCTGATCGGGAGATATATGCTCTTATATGCAATATCCAGTGCTTTGGGCCCATTCCCCTGTCGCTTTTGCAATTCTGCTTAATTTGGAGAAGGTGCATCGTGTTGCCTATCCGATTTTTCTCCAAGCATCTGCATGTATCTCCTCCTCTCTCAACTCAACCGGTTGTTCAAAATTGAAAAATCGGAAAAAAACATTCTTTTACAAAGTTTTTGTAGACTTATGGGTCGTTAGTCAATAATTATTCAGATATTGTGAGATGTGGTCTAGTATGATGTAGTTTCAGAAAAACATTTTCTTTATTGTGCCAACATTTCGATCTTTATTGAGATCATCTTCAGGGCCTGGGATTTACAAGCATTGTTTACATGTAAGAAATACATGTAGGATGTGGAAAAAAGTGAATTTATACAATGCAAAAAAAATATATTTTTATATTCAATCAAAGTATTTCTACTCACTCAAAGTGTTTGTTTTCTGCGTAAGTGTGCCATTCTTGCATGTTGTGTTGAGTGTGCCAGTGAGATATTGCTGTTTTATGTTTATTATGTTGGATTTTGAAGGAGTGGGGAAGGAAGTCGGTATAGAAAGACATGTTTGTATAAGGAGTCGGCGTCTTTGAGGTGAAAAGAGCCGACAAAGGGAAAAAAACGTTGGTAATAGTTCGGTCAGATTATCCTTTCAGGATTATATAGATATAAATAGGAAAAGGAAAGCTAAATTGTTGAAAAATTAGACTATGTAAAAATGTTTGATGTGTGGAATGTGATGAATGTTTTATATGTTATATTATACGTTTTGTGTGATGTGAAGATATATGTATGTTATCGATATTCAATTTGATTAATGATATTGGCGTAGCTGCGACTGAATTTACATGTTTCTGTTCTGTAATTGATGCTGTGTTTATCTCGGTTGATGTAAACCATTTCTAAAAAGTTACGTTTGTGTTTGTTTTGTTCTGTGTGTAATATTTTTGGACTGGGATTTTTTTCCACATCCTACATGTATTTGTTAAAGTTAAACAATGTTTGTAAATCCCAGGCCCTGAATATGATCTCAATAAAGATCGAAACGTTGGCACGATAAAGAAAATGTTTTTCTGAAACCTACATCACACCAGACCACATCTCAATATATCTGAATAATTGTAGACTTTTGATATTTCCTTAGTCTTATAAAGTTTTTCTAGATATTTTGACCAAATGTTAACAAGATTGATACACGAGATCAAGTTGAACTAGTCGACAGTCTACATTCGCTAACTCGCAACTCTCGACTCAACCAGTAGTTCAAAATCGAGAGAGAAAAAAAACAACATACTTTTGCAGTTTTTTTAGACTTTTGATATTTCCTTAGTTTTATACATGAGATCAAGTTGAACTAGTTGACAGGCTACATTCGCTAACTCGCAACTCTCGACTGATGATGAGCTTTAAGCTTGAAATCTGGATTGTTGAAAACACCAAATTGTGAGTAAGATCCAACTTTTTTAAAAAGATTAAATAACCTGTATCTTGTAGGTAATTCTTCTCTAATTTTCTGGGTTATGGATATACAGGGTGAATTGCTACTCGTGCTACAAACTTCTCCAGTAGATTCTTCACCCTAAAATGAACAAAAAAGTTCATATTGTCCATGGTCCGATTCTCAACCATTTCNGAATCGGACCATGGACAATATGAACTTTTTTGTTCATTTTAGGGTGAAGAATCTACTGGAGAAGTTTGTAGCACGAGTAGCAATTCACCCTGTATAGAAGGGTCAATTCCACAATTGATCTTTCAGATCTGTAAAAATATCAAACTGTTAAAGTTGGAACAGTATTCAATTTAATGTTTTATTTTAATTAATTATACTTTTTATCTAAGGTCTTTGGTTGAGGTGGAAAAGTTTGTGTAGAACGAGCGGGATTCGAACCCACGACCTTCGGCTCAATACACTGCTGCTCTCTAACTTGAGCTATTGTGACTTCGATCCACTCGAACCCAAACAAAACAAAAACCCAAGGTTGTGGGTTCGAATCCCATTTGTGACACTAACTTTTTCATATCAACCAAAGACTGAAAAAATATAATTAATTAAAATATTGACATGTTCAATTATGACTACTATTAATGCTTTATATTAATTATTTTTAAAAAATAAGATCATTAACAAATCAAGTTATTAAGAAATGCAGAAAATCACAGTTATAACAAAAACATATTAGCTTAACAACTAATTTTCGGAAAATAAAAGTTAAAAAGCAAAAGGCATTCTACACAATAGCAAAAAAAATTTTTTTTAGTAAGCATAAAAAAACATTTACATATTTAAATTGAGAAACATTGTGGTGAGGATTGTGCAGTGATCACTTTTGAGCGCATCTAATCATGCAGTTTTAGTTTTTTAGACATCTCTGTCATAAAGGTTGTAAAGCATCTGATATTGACAATTCTGGCAAGCTAATTTTATCACCTAAACCTCACCACAGTTTTCTAGGTCATGCATATAAAGTTACTACAGGCCAAAGTGGAAAGACAGTCAACAGTTTTAAAATAAAATAAGCATTTATTTAATAAATTTTCCCAATGGAAGATAAAGAATGTTATGTAACAAATTGTACATTTATATCACAATATTAAAGCACATATAGTGTTTAGCAATATANTAAATTAAATGAAAAATAATAGGTAGACAGAAGGATGATACATAAAACACATTTTTTCCCTTAAAATTTACATTCAATTTTGTACTTCAAATAAAAATTAAAATTAAACAAAAGTAGTACATTCAATTCTCTCCAGGAAGAATATTTTTACATGGAAATTATAAGAGAGCGACTGGAAAGCACTTTGTGATTTTTCGATGTTAATTTGAATTTTTACACATTGTAAAAAAGAGAGAGGCACAATAAACATGACATTTCAAGCCCTTTTGGTCCTGATAAATGCTTTTACACAACTAGCCTAAAATTCATAACAATTATCCCTTTATAATAATTATACAATTCTTCGTGTTATTTACAATGGCAAAGCTTTGTACTATTCATTATTTACAAAATCATCCGTTTCAATGATTTTCAAAAAGGTGAAGATCAAGTTTCAATTTTATAGTTCCTGAACGAACTTCCAGGAGGCTCAACTCTCTCACGACAGCCCCTGGGTTCATCTGTTTAGCCCTGAAAATCTCCGATACACGCAGTTCCGTCCTTCCGAGAAATTCTAAAATTAAAAACAATTAAACCATTGGGAAATGGAAATTTGTAAATTGTAGTTTAAACTTACGATCTGGAGAAAAATTCCCTTTTTCTTTCACCGTCAAACAAAGGACATCTTCTCGTAAATCTTTGACTAGAAATTGCATCGATGTGTTCCAAATTGCTTCGGTTATCGAAGCCATTGAAACAGCTGGGGTCTTGTGCTCTTGACAGCCCATTGATAACTCGCAGAAAACTTCCCTATTCACTAAAAATCAAGTCAAATGTTGATTTATTTTTATTTTTAAACAAGGATATTTCAACTAAAAGGTCATATGAACCCTCTGGGTGTCGGTGTTTTTGAAAAATAGCCCATTTGTAAGTATATCAGGGTTGCTAGATTCGAACCTGTGACCTTTACCTTACAGTGATGAGCGCCGTGTCAACGCCTAAACCGTTGTGGCCACCGATACCCATAATTCGAATTTTAACTATCATAATAAGTACAAAAAGCGATTGAAAACTACATTCATTTAAAAATCGATAAAATGAATACCCACAAGACCACAACTGTACTGTATCTCTTACAAAACAATAAACTTTTGAAATTACGTGAATGATGAAGCAATAAAACAATAAATAAAAATACAATCACCAACACCAACATCAAGTTTTTGCTAATAGTAATAAATAAATCTCACCTAGGAAGTGGTAATGAAGCAAATGTTTATTATACCATTAACCATCATGCTCAATACTTAGCCAGCGGAATAATTTAAAATCAAACTGACATAAAAATTAACTTTTACACTTAAAACACTTTACACGACGATAAATTAAAAATGGACAAGAACAAGACCATTCGTATGACTGTAATGCTCTTGTACCTCCTCTAAATTTACTCGGTATCAACGGCCTTGCATTGAGAACCATCACATGTAGTTTCATTACCGGTTTTCGTCTTCGAACTGTCAACAGAAATTTATAAGTCATTTTAAAACAGGAAAAAATTCTGAATCCCATGTCACACTGGCTTTGTAATGAAATTGTTAATACTAGTGGAAATAAATAAAACCTTCAACTAAGAGAGTGTGCTTCATGCAGTTCATGCTGACTTAGTCTGACAAAGGTTTACGACTTTTCTTTACTTGTTTTACCTGTTGACGATTTGAGCTTTCGCCCTCTCTCAACCATTACAAGAATTCTTCCGACAGCACCAAAAGAAGCTTCCTCTGAATATTTGACATTAAATTGGAAAATAAATTGACATTAAATTGGAAAATAAATTGACATTAAATTTGAAAATAAATTGACATTAAATTTGAAAATAATCAAATGTGTCATATTATTAATTATTTAACCTAATTAAATTTTTTAAATTATTGCAAAGTCTAATAACATACTTGACTGTTGTCTGTAAAACTTTTCAGATTCTAGTTTATTCATAGCCTTTTGCGCCTGCATCAGTACCTTCAACCAGGTAGACTTTTCATTAGAATTCACTGTTGTAAGATTTATTACAGTTTTGCTATTTTCCAATCGTATGTCATTCCCATTGTCTGTTATAACTGTTTCACTCAAAAGCAACGGCTAAAAATTGAAGTACATGAACATTTCTCTAACTTACTTTTTTGTTAAACATGAATTTTACCTTTTTGTACATTCGGAATAAAATGAAATTTCTTTTATCAAAATTAAAATGATTTCCAAGTGGTCGATTTGGTTGAGCCAAAAGTAGGAAATCATTCATTAGAAAACCAACGAGCTGTTTTCCACTTTTAGTCTGAAATAAATGTGTAGTCATGACAGTAACATATTATATTATGATATATTACATATTATTATTATTATTATTATAAGTATGGTTAGAAAAAAGGAATGAGCATGTTTGTTTAAAAATATCCAAATCTAACTGGGACTATTAGCCTATTATGCTCAGTATTTGATATACCACCCAATAGTCCTGGACCTGGCCCCTTCAGACATCTGAATAATCACTTTCGATAAAATGTTGATTGCAGAGCATCAAACTCTGAAATGTTTCCTGTGCCTGAATTTAGGGTTAAGCTTTGAAATGCAAAGGGAGTCAACTCACTCGTGTGAATGCTCAGTAGAAAAACATGTTAAGGAAAAAATATTTCTATATTGAAAGATCTAAAAATTTGAATAGAAGACTTACAGATTTGTTGTTCTTTAACTCTAGATCATTTTATTTAACCCACCCAAATACTAGAAATTTGTTTTAATTTGCTTATTATTGTTCAGAAAAATTTCTCCAAGTAATCAATATTTTTGTTTATACCTTTGTGAGGACACCATAATGTAATAACTTTCGTGGGCCAAGAGCGTTGGTGAGTGAATTGAATACGAGGGGCTCTGTCAGGCCATCTTTGAGGAGGTGGTTTTGCAACCATTCTAACCTATCGGAGTTCTCCTTCTCCCTCACGGACTCGTTGATCTGCTGGCACAGTTCTTCAGCTTTTGCTTGCGCTTCTTCCAAGCACGTCCTGTCCGGATGGTTGCTTGGCGTGCATTCTAAGATTTTTGAAATCAGCAGAGGATACTTCGTTATCCTTTGCATTGGTTTGATGAGAAACGAAGAGAGTGGAAGTCCCTGTGTACGAGGGTCCATCTGACAAGATTTGCTCAACGCTAAAAATTCCGGTTTAGTCTCGCTCAGGGTTTGAAGACATGTGGCTGCATTGAGTTGGCAAGAACAAAAACGAACATACACAACCATCCTTGGCAACTGTCAGCAAAATAAATTTAATAACATTTAAAAATTAAAGCAAAAAAAAAAAATACTAACATTCTCACAAAGGATGTCACCAATTTTTCTCACACAGCCTCCTTTGCTCATTTCTCTTCTCACTCTTAAAGCTCTACACAAATATTTTTTTCACAAACAATCCTAATTATACATAAATGTTTTATATAAAAAAAGACTACCTTAAGAATGTATAATTACACTCAATGATCTCATGCCAATTAATAAAAATTGTGTGAAGTTGTTCAAGAGTTAATAATTTGCTTTCTCTTAAAGGCTTTTCAAAAACCTGAAAAGAATTTTGTCACACTACATCCTTCAATTTTGTATTCTATTTAAACATACCTCATAAACCACAGACATATCATCGATATACGCTTGCTCTGTGTCCATGAGTTCGTTGATGTGCTGCTGTCTCTTCTTTTCCTCCCTTGAGACCTTCACCCCATTTTTGTTGCTCTTAGAGTCGACTTCTTTCGGTGAATCGGGTGGTGAGCTGTCGAATGCAGATGTGTCCAAATTGCTCACCCCTACCATGAAACCAATCGATTTCTGTTAAGTTTTAGGCCCGCAATCATATATTTTTTATCAATGATCTAAAATTAACCCGGATCTAAACCTTTTCAATATGATTTTGCCCTCACAATTTATTAATTCTGTTTATAAAATGGGAAAATATTATTTAATGTAAATATAAGTGGTGGATTTAATATTTGTAACTTCTGTAAAGTTTTCAATATCTTACTAAATGCGTAATTTTTATTTTTATTTTGGAACAGAAATATTGACTAATTCTATGAAATTTAAACTTATAGTCAGTAGAAATGAGATTAAATTTATGTATTTTTAAGTCATTTAGATTGGTTATGTAGCATTCTATCAATTTTTTTTCTCACTATTTCAAATATTTATAAATCTCTATACTTTTATTAGTTTTAGTTTATACTTGGAATATTTAAAAAAATGTGTTTATGATGCTGTAATATAAAACAAATTTATTAGAAATCGATGTTATCAGGTTACATAGAAGCTTTAAAATAAAACTCAAGTTTAAGCTATTATAATTTTATTTCACTATTATTCTTTTGGACTATTTGCCATAATTAATATTGCACATATATTTAGTGCGTTTCTCATCACATACATAACGATACATTATGCAAGTAACATATACAACAATTATTATATAAGATAAATGATATATATTATATATCAATTGCTTTTATAATTTTCACAATTATAACATTAAAAATTATTATATTACATTTATAATATCATTGCAATAATGGCTTCATTTGATTATTAAACAATTCGCTAAATTATAAAAAAATAATAAAAACGACAAAACTACAAAAAGAGATTCCGCAGAGTTTTCCCCTCATAACAATTTTTGGAAAAGGAAATAAAAATTTTAAAAATGGCTAATATATCTATACATAAACATCATAAAAGATTGGAAAATAAATAACAATTAACAATTATTTGATATTCAAATAGTTTTTCTTTCCATCACTCGAACTAGAACTTTCATCTATTTTAACATTCTCAAAAATATTTAATAAAAATTGGTACTATCCACTTTCTAATTTTCAACCTTGTGAGCGATGGAAGTATAAACACCGGTAAAAAGATTTCTACAATATTTATAACCGTTATAAGTGATAAATCGTAATAAATGATGTGCCCCCAGAAAAGTAATAAAGCAAGAGAGACCTGTCTGCACACTTAAAAGGCTAAAACTTACATGTTAGTTAACATCGATGAAGAAACAACAACACTTGAGGTTTCTAAAGTTGCAAGAAATGCAATACTGACAGTTGAGGGACTTCTAAGGGCAGTCAAGTCTCTCTTTCAAGTGAAACAAACAAAAAATAAAACATGAATTTATAAAATATGCAGATCATTTTGGAATTTAATGTTAAAACAAATAATTTTGAAAATCTCATCCTGACGCAGGACAGAAAATCTCAGATCTTAACTTTCTGTAATTTTCTTCATTCATTGTTTTTCCTATATATAAAAAAAAGTTATTTGGCTTTTAGATATTTTAGTTAGTTTACAAAGTTACCTAAAGAATTTTTTTTCAACAATAGAATTTTGTTTTATTTGTATTATTTGGTTTGGGTGGGGGGGGGGTTTAAGATATAGAGAATGATTTTTCAAGAAGAATCTAGATTTAAGCATGAACGACCAAAGACTAGCAGACGACATCGGTTGGAGTGCCAGACCCTCAGCCTGTCAGTGTTGATTCTCCTGCAACAAACCGACAAGGCGACTGAGTTGTTGTTTCTTCATCAACTTGAATAACGTATTTATCTGGACAGACGAATCAGGAAAAAAGATGATTTAAAAAAGAAACTTACACATCGGCCCAACGTAATTGCTTGGGAATAGACCGACTGAGCCTTTGCATTCTCCTTTCCACCACAAAGGTTCATCCTTTGCTAATACTGTCACTATGTCATCCTTTTCGAAGCTCAACTCGTCTTCATTTTGTGCAGTGTAAGGGTAGAGAGCAATTACTCTTTCTGCAATTAAAATGTTTTATTCAGCGAATTTTGATTGGTTTGAAGTTTCCCTTACCAAGAAGGCCATCACTAAGTCCTGATTCAGATGATTTTCTTGATGTCGATCTGGAGTTTCGTCCTCCAGCAAGAAGCTTTACATACGACGCAGGAAACCAACCTATTTGCCTCTTCTTTCCTTTCGCCTACGATTTACCATAAATTACTTCAATTATGAACACCAATCAAAAGGGCATTATAAAAATGTTTTGTAAAATAGAATATCATCGAGAAAATACATAAAAATAGGCAGTTTGATATTCAAAAAAAGTTCATACCTGAAGTTCGCCTTCCCACCAGCCAGAACTGGTCTTTTTTCTTATCATTATCAACTGACCTCTTTGCAAGCTTAACTGCTCAGAACTCGTTGCCTGATAGGGAGCTATTACCGTAGCGATTACGGACTTCTTACCTTTGCTCTGAAATTGTAAAGAAATATAATAACATATAACAAATTATATATAAATATATATACAATTTATATTATAAATATTAGTAATTATATCCTTGTGTATATCGCTGATTTCGTTCTATTTTAAATCTTTTATAAATATATATATATATATATAAAGTCACATTTGTGTGAATATAATAATTATTTAAAGCTAAAGTTTGTAGTTAAAATAACTAATGTGACGGCTATTATTATATTAATAGTTAAAATTAACATCAGGGTTAGAAACAGACATGAATAGTATAATGTATAAATTAATTATCAAACAACAGATTTTTAAACATTGGACAAGGTAAATTAAGCAAGAAATAATTTTTAATTCATTATTTAATGTTCTGCACCCAAAGCCGACATTTAATTTTAAAAAATCAAATAAAACAAGTGTAAGTCAATTATTTTTACAAATTAATATGATAAATTGTAGAAGAAAAAATATTTATTAGTTTCACCAAGCTATATATATTATTATACAGTGTAATTTCCCCAAAATCACACTTCTAATAACCTGGACAATTAATATCTGGACTAATAAATGGACATGGACACAACATTTAGAGATTTCTCAATGAATAAGTCTTTTATGAACGAACAACAAGAAACATCTTACTCACAAATGGTAATGTTTCAGGAATTATTCGTTTAAATTATTTTATTCAACTCATAATTCAAGAAAATCAACCCACACCAAACTCGAATGCCTTCTTGGTCAGTGGTCAGTTCAATGATTATGACAAACCAATTTAAAGACAAGCACGGAAAAAAATCTTCCTGACCATAAGAAAGAGACATGTACATTAATTTGAATTCAATTTATTTTTTACTTTCCCTTATGTGGACATGAGCAAACAAAAACCCATTTACGAGGTCAGCTTATGAGAAATTCAGCTATAATTAATGTTAAATTGCTAATTTTGATTATTTGATTTATAATTTAAACACTAGGAAAGGCTAAATTACAGAAAAATAACCTCTTGAAACATTTTTTCAATGGATTTACAAAGGTGAAACATGTTTGAGAGAAAATAGTGTAAAATAAACAAACATTTGGACAAACCTTCACTTCACTTTCCTCTCCACTTCCTGATTCAACCTAAACACACAAACACTCAAAATTCATACAGAAAATTTTAAAAAGCTGCTTGGAAGGAATAGGATTTTTTGTCATTCATGCAAGGATTAATTGCCAAAGGGTGAAAGCTAACTTATGCTTTACCTGAGATGAAAGGCTCGCAAAATCTGGTGTTACTGATCTACCCTCCCCAGTTATCTAAAAATAGTATAATTTTTCAGTGCTAACAGGCTACATAATTTGAATCAATGGGCTTACCTGGGGCTCTATGTTTGAAGGTGTCGTTTTTACATCGTTTATCGGAGTCTTTGTGAAGTCAGGCGTGAAACTCTGTGGCAACGGGGACGTCGATATGCTCATGACCGGTGCAGGTTCTGGCTCTGGTTGTACCTGGTGAAATCAAATTTTGAAAAATCGTCGTGACCAAAATGTAACGAAGGAACTGACCTCTTTTGCAAGTTGTACGTAGTTCGAGGGGAATATTCCTGTCCTATCACCAATCACGCCCGTCCACCAGTCTCCTTCTTTTGCAATCACGGTTATAGTCTCTCCTTGGTCAAATGTTAAATCACCAGGCTCTTCAGAATTATAAGCATATAAAGATATGTATTCTGGAAAAAAAATTATTTTTATAAATGAATATTGAGGGCAGTAATTTTTTAAAATTTATTATATACAAGTTTCAATTTTACCACCAGAATTAATATTTATTGCTTATTTATAAAGATTGTATGTATACCTTTCATTATGTACATATATATATGTTTATCATCCTCCAGACAAATTAAATCCTAAAATAGAACTGATAATGTTTCAAAGATTCAAACAGATAAAGTTTTAACAAGTTTTTATTGTTAACCAATGATGTAATCCAACCCTCGTTATCAACAACCTTTTGCTATCTAATGTGCAAATTTTCAATGCTGAATCAATAAAACTCAATTAGTTTTTGAGCAAAATAACTAGAGATGGCATTTTGGACATCCTAATTTTCAAATGTTTGGCCACTTAGAAAATGTAGCGATCGGAACAAAGGTAAATCAGATGGCACAATATCAGGTGAGTACAGTGGGTGAGGCAATACCTCCTCCCCCAATTCATTAATTTTGTCCAAGGTTCATCTTGTTCAATGCATTATCTTGTTAATAACGCATTTTCTGTTGACAATCGCTTGGCAGTTTTCAATTAATGATTGATTTACTCAAACTAATTGCTCGCAGTAAAGCATTCAAGATTGTCCAGGTTTCACCACTTCAAAGTGAACGACGCCGCGAATACTCTGTCAAACACAGGGCCATTTTTTTTATCTCCAGTGCTCAAACCATAATAAAAAACACTTCTGTATTGTGCTTGGACTGCTTACTTTACCAATCTGCTGCAAATGTTCTTAGATGGTCGACCAACGTTGGTTAAAAGTGTTTGACAGTTCCTAAACTGATATGGATTTGCTTCCATTTTCACCCTTAACTTGTCTAAAGTTGTTTGTCTTCCTGATCGATACGAGTTGAAAAGATCAAAATTACTGGATGTGAACAAAAAACCTAATTTTGCATTTACAAACATCTAATGCATTTAGATAAACATCGCAAATGTTTTTGGTACCAACTGTTCCGTTACTACCCTTTTGAAACTCAAAAAGCATGCAATGCCAAATATGTACCTCTCCTCTCTTGGCTGGCCATTAAACCATATATTGCAAAAAAAAAAGATTTAAATATGTAAGAGGAAACAAGTCATTTAAACCTTAAAATGTCTTTAGAACAACTTTGAAGTGCACAATGAGCTGATAAATAACAAATGAATATTGACATAGGCAAGGTTAGCTATTGACGATTTGGTCTATTTAGGCCTTAATAAATAAGATATTAATCGCATTAGATATGTTATAGTTCAGTTTTACAATATTCAGCATACGTAAAGAAACAGAACAAATATATTAATAAAAATTAACAGACAAACCTTGTTTTTCAACTGCTGTTGAAGTTTGACTAGAAGGTGCTACTACTGCAGGAGTAGGTGAAACGTTTTCTTCAAGTTTAACATAACTTTTAGGGAACCAACCATCTACAAGATTTAATGTACCATAGCACCATTGATCCTTAAACAATAGATACCATAAGGAACAGAAATTAAACTAACAAGGGAATGACCGGGTTGGTGAGTCACGGATTTGAACCAATCTTTTTCTGATGATTCTACACTCCAAAATATCGGACACATGCCACTTTTTGTGTGTAGGCCCTGGTTTTGCCACAAAAAACATTGATTAACATAAAAACAAAAATGTTCTAAGATACAAAATATTCTAATTTGGTATGATTTAAAAATATAAATCAACAAAATGCTGCTTTTTGAGGTATATATTTTAACAAACATTCTTTAAGCAAAGTAGGTCAGAAAATGATCAAAACTTGAATTTAACCTAATAGTTGTGAACTGATGTTGTATTGCATCTTCTTGAGGTCATTTTACAGGTGAATAAAGAACATCACTAATTGGGTTCTTTATTCACCTGTAAAATGACCTCAAGAAGATCCAATACATCATTAAACTACGTAGGTCGATCAACGTCAACTAGAATTCTAATAGTCGTGATTCGAACGTTATAAAACCCTTAGATACTGACTTTCACGGAAATCGGTGTAAATTAGTTTTTTCGGTGTAATTTCAACAACCTTCTGACAACCGACTGACGTTCCTAGTACAAAGCTCTAAAACCATTTTTCTCAAAACCTAGGAGACCGGTTTTCATGGTTAATTATTCGTTAAGTGCATTTTATAACTGTTCAAACATTACAATCGGACTATTATTTTCATTTTAAAAAAAAGGTTAATTTTTGACAAATAAATTTCTTATGTTGTTTATTTTCTTATAAAAATCTTTTATGTTTTTGTTTATACTACATACATCATTAAACAGCTAAGTTCCTCTTTTTTAAATGACCTGTTTGACATTAAAATCTTTTTAGTTGTTTTTTAACAGCCATTTCAATCAGATATTCCAATAGCGACTTCTTAAAAATCGGAAAAATTTAAATTCAAACAAAAATTTATATTTATGGGGTTTCTAGAGGTGCTAAAACAAAATTTAAAATTAGTTTCATGAAAAACAAAACAAAAATATGACCAAGTTTACTTGAAAAATATTTGGTTTTTCCCAATTTGAAGTTCAAGTTATTGATAAACTTTGATAGATTTTACTATATTTTTATTGCAATCTACATAAAAAATGCTGTAAAATGATATAATCACAATAATTGATTTAAGCAAGTAGAATAAAAAATAAAATAAAAAACAGTAAAATTCAACTTTCAAAAAAAAAAAAAAATTGTTGGCAAAGCCAGGGCCTTTTCGAAAAAAGTGGTGGATACGTGCCTGATATTTTGGTACAGAATCACTAAAAAAAGTTTGGTCCAAATCCATGACCCACCAACCTGGAGGCCCCCTTGAAGGTAAATATAGTTTAATTGAATACCTGAATTTCCGAAACCTTAATAACATCCCCTTTGATGAAAGAGAGGTGGATTGATTTCTTTCCTGTGAAGGAATAAATAGCCATACCAGTCATGTCACAAGCCTTCCCGAGTCCAAGAATCGGATCGAGACCTGACGGCAAAGCAGGCCCTTCTTCAGGAGCTGAACCGCTTTCCGACACAGTCTCAGCAACTTCAGCAATACCCCTTAAAAAGAAAAAAAAACACTCATCCAATTTAACAAATGATTAACTTTTTTACTTACTCTAAGGGTGTTTTTGGAATATTGGTAGGGGCAACTTCAACAGAATTGGAGTGGTCAGCTGGTTCTACATAAGATTCAGGAAACCAACCCGTCACCCCTCTAATTTCACCGGAAAGCCAACCTGGTTCAGCATTTTGATTTAAAGGAACCTTTATAATAAAAAATAAATTTAGTTAAAGAAAAGAAAATCTTATACAAAACATTTAATTAAGAAGTTCAAAAATATACGCACAAAAATAATATCGCCGGGTTGGAAAGAGAGTTCATCTGAATTTCTTGCAACAAATTCATAAAGGGCTCTGTATTTCTTAAAGCCTTAACAAAAAATTTTGTTTTTTATTCTTGATCGATGAAGAATAAAATTTACTAGTGCAAAAAAATACCTGGCTTATCTTCAACAAAAGCTTCTTCCTGCACCCAACCGTCATCTGGCGCATTGTCCCAGGCATTATTTTCCCACGTGTTGTCAATTCTGTTCGCCCCTTTTAGATCAAGCATCTAAACAATAAATAGTTTAGCATATTTGCCCTGAATTTATAATTCAAGCAGAAACAAACCTTATTCCTCTTGTCCGCATACACATTATACATCTCTTCACAGTCTTTAAGGATGGTGCCAAGATCGTTTCGCAGAGCATCAAGCTGAGAATTGTTATTTTCCAAATCTGACATTTTCACCTTTACTTGTTCTTCTAAGTCAGCCAGTTTATCCTTTAGGTTTTTGACAATGATCTGCTTGTTATTAAAAGCGAGAATGTCATCAGCAGAATCCTTTGCGCCAAGTTTTCCCTGTGCCTCGAGTTTCATTTTTTGTTGGCTTAATGTAACAAGCTAAAAAATAAACAAATTTTGACACACTTTTTTTTAAAATAAAAACGAAAAACGTACTTGTTGATTTCTTTGTTTGACTAGAGCTTTTAATTGATTATATTCTGCTAAGTTTTGATCTCTAGTTGCCCTCATGCCGTCGATGATGGACTTGACCGATGTGACACCACACCTTGTGTCAGAAATTTGTTTTGACAGTTCTTTCACCTTGTCTTCCTTCTGGGAAAGTGTTATTGTCAAGGATTGGCTCTTGGCCTTAAGTGCTAGCACTGCTTCTTGTTGCTTCTGCCTCTTATTTTCGAGTTCTAGAGTTCTTTGTTTTTCCCATTCAGCTTGGCGTTGGCGCTCCATCTCTTTCCTAGCGGCCTCCCTTTGTTCCTCAGCCCGTCTCCTTTCTTCCTCCCTCGCCTTTTCTGCTTCCCTCTGGCGTTCAAGCTGTCTCTCGATTTCTTCCTGGCGGCGTGTTTCTTGCTCAAGCCTTAAAAAAAAAATTGTAAGTTAAACAAACTTTTTTTTACACATATATGCTTAAAATTTTGTTTAATACAATTAAAACACTTCAACGACTGACAGTATTTAATAATCAAAATTAATGCTTGCCTGATTTTCTCTTGTTTATCCCGTTCCATTTTTTCCTTCCTTTCTCTCTCCTCTTCTTCTTTTCTTTGAATCTCCAACAATGCTTTTCTTCTTCTATCCAATTCTGCTTGGCCTTTTACAAAATTCTCCTTTCGTTTATCTTCAAATGTAACTGCAATGAATAAAAATTAAAAATCACATTATTAATCAATACTCTTTACTCATTAGGAAACAACCTTGAGACATTCCAGCCATAGGATCAGCCATGTCACCACCCGGGGACATCGTTAGGCTGTTATTTCTCACTTTACGCAATGTCGGGGGTATCAGATTTGGAGGTAAAGTAGTCGGTAATGTTTCACCATTACGCGCCATATCGCACAAATGAAGAGCTAAAACAAACTCCTCGCATGACAGCCTACCATCAGCGTCCATGTCTGACAGACCCCTGAACAAACAAATAAGTCTGAATTTTCCTTTAAAAATTAAAAAAACAAAAAAAAACAATAATAATTACCATATAGTCGCAAGAATGTTTTGTGGGAGTTTCGAAGCAAGCAGAATGTTTCTGGCCTGTGGGCCTGTAAGGAAACCAGACCTAGTCTTATCTGTTGTATTAAACAGCTGCGTATATTTTAATTTTGATGCCTGTGGTACGGCCCAATCAACAAGTGGTGAACTCATAACAAGTCTTTAAACAAAAACATAAGGTAACTATTACAATTTTATTTAAAGAACAAAAAATATTTGTAGAAAAGAAACATCATAAAAATTATTATAATTTTACTGACACTTTACATTATGTAGACAATAATTTAAATACATTAATCAAATAGTATTTTTTAATTTAGAATATGAGACAGAGGTTTTATTTCTTAAACAAAATAATTAGGTAGAAAACAAAAATATTAGTTATACATAATTCTTATATTTAAATCCAGTTCATGTAATTAAAAAACATAGGCTGCATTTTATCTGATATTGGTAAAAGCCACATGGCTTTCTGCTGATAGATTGGTTTCATTAGTCAATAGAATTCTTTGTGATGCATTGCTGTGGTTTCTATTTTTTGTATTTTTTCTTTTTTTTAGTTTCATCACATTTTAAATTAATTAATTTTGCATAATCTCAACTTCAAATGAGCCAATCAAAAGGTAAAATATTACACTACAATATTACACCTGGTGAACGCTGGAACTAACAAACTTACTTAACAATATTACTTGTTTGTCTTGTCATTGTGTATATATAGGGTGTTTGGTTCCAGAAAACTACCGAATCTGAAAATCCGCGAATGTTGAATTTATTTGCCTATAATATAAGGAGGATTACGTTCAATGACGCCAAAAATTGAGATACAATTCAGAACTAAAAACAGTTTATTCAAAATAAACTTAATAAAAGACCACAGACTTTGGGCGTGTTAATTGTATTCATTGTTTGTATTTTTTGATGTGCAAGGAAAGAAATAACTTAGGTGTTCGCTGTTTCGCCAAATAATTAATTTATTTAAGAATTTCCACATAGGGATTTGAAGTGGCTTTGACATCCCTTTTAAACTTAAAACTTTGATTTAAAGATAGGTCAAAATCCATTTATTTTTTTAATAAGTTGGTCCCTCAAGTTTAAAATTTCCTTGGGCTTTTTTGAAGAAAAGCTTTTTGGCCTGCATAAAAAATGTAAAAGCTGTAACACATCCAAAAATTTTAATTTTTCACCAAGGGTCAGATGGTTTTTTCCCGTTTAGGAAGACGAGGCATTTTGCAACACCACTTCTACGAGAGAATAAAACAAACTGAGAAGAAAGAAGGGGCAGTATGTTGAAAGGAGACAAAAGTTTTCTGAGAGTCAATTAGAGCCTCCAATCATTTTAAAAAAAAATTTTTTTATTCAAAAATAAAATTCGTTACACAACTGATTTTTGTCAGCGAATAAAGAAATTGGACTTCTGCAAATGTCAAAACTTTCCTCATTTTTTAGAATAGTGAAAACCGCAAGTGTTAAGGGATTACTGTATTTGCACTTTGAATTTAGTTGTTATTGTAATTACACACAAAATGGTTGTTAAAACAGAATGTCCTGACACATTTATGTTTAACCTCAAATAATTTAAGACAAAAGATACCTTCAAACAATTTAAACTGTAAAAAATCATATAATGATTAATAATTGAAGGTTATTTCACATGGAATGAAAAAAATAAAATAAAATGATTTTCCCCTATGCATAACTATTTTTTAATTCTGGAACAGAAAAATTCAATGTTTTGAAAATAAATTAAGACAGAAAAGGTATTTTGGACCTGCAAATCATTTTTAAAAAATATAGGAACGCAGATTTTTCTTCATAAGGTCTTGATGCAGTTGGTAAATTTCAAGTAATTCTAAGTGAAAAGGAATATTGGATGACTCCAGTCATAGACAACCATAAATTTTTTATGTATTTTGGTTTTAGTTTCTGCCCTGTCCTTTCATCAACAATTAACCACTGACCCCGACCAATACTGATTGTCATACATAATCTCTTTTTTATCAATTATTTTGAGAAAAGGTTCTTTTTTTGCCTATCAAACAAATATATTTCATGCCACTTTGCTGCTGCTCAGTGGGCTCATCAAGTACCAATAAATTGAGTTTCTTTGACTTTCTGTTGTTTGAATGCTCTTTATTTATTAGGTATATGAAACTGTGAATTCACTTGCATTTTTTAATGCTGAGTCCTCTAATAATTTGGTAATGGGAAACTGTGATAGCCGAGTGATTAAGGCGTCATACTCTCAGTTAGAAGATCACATGGTTGTAAATTTGCCGGATTTTTCTAATGCATAACACAAGCTCTAAAAGACCACAATTAAAAGTTGACATAAGCTCATCAAAGAAAGGTCCTGGGGGGATGGGGACTCAGTGAGCATAAATTCAATCCTGACCACCTTTAACACTGCATTTTTTCAGTGGACAACCACACTAGGGGCTGCACACATATTTTTATAAGTTGTATATTATTTATACTCCGCCAAAATGAGTATAAATTTATCAAAGAATGCTCCGCAAAAATTATGTCTTCATGTTTATATTTGAAAGTATACTAGAGATTTTTTAATGAATTGGAAAGCTAATCAATATTTATAAAAAAAAAAAAAAATTGGAGATTGTGAGATGCGGTCTGGAGTGACATAGGTTTAGAAAAACAATTTTTTTTTATCGTGCCAGCGTTTCGATCTTTATTGAGATCATCTTCTGGGCCTAGGATTTATAAACATTGTTTAAATTATACAATGTTTATAAATCCCAGGCCCTGAAGATGATCTCAATAAAGATCGAAACGTTGGCACAATAAAGAAAATGTTTTTCTAAATCTACGTCACATCAAACCACATCTCAAGATCATTAACTAAAGGTCACTAAACACCACACAAATATTTAAAAACCATATAGGATTAATAATTGCTTATTAAAATCTGTAAAGTTGCTAGTAAATAACAAGAAACAAAGAGAAAAAAAAATTATCTATCTATAGATTTCTATAATCACAAAAACGGACATTTATTATGAAAGAAGCCAATAAAATAATTTATATTAATAAATTTAAGGTATAATAGAATCTTACGGAGATTCCAGAGAAGGATTTCTTTCCACAACTGAGTGCGGTGCTACAGCAGGCTGAGAAGGAGCAGTTGCCATGATTGGTGGAGTTGGGGGTGTTGGTTGAGCTGGTGGGCTCGGTTTTGACGTAGTAAGACCTGTGAGGGTGTTTGGTGGAATCGGTGTCGGAGGCTGTGGGAGAGTAGGAGGGATCTGTGTGAGAGGTGGTTGACTCGTTATGACACCAAGAGGAGTTATTGGTTGGGTCGGGAGAGGCTGGATTAATGGTTGGGGAAGCACTGTTGGATGAACGGGAGCTAACGGTGCAACAGGGATTATCGGAGCTTGAGGCTGTACAGGAGCCATCGGTACAGGTGGCATGACCGGTGGAGGCCGGACTACTTGTGCCGCTGGCAATGGAGGAATTGGGGGTGGGGCTGAGACTATCGGAGTTGGCCCTCCCGACGGCGGAGAGATTGTGCGGTTTATTTGTTGTGGCTGAACTGGCGTACCACCCATAGGTATTAGAGGCATCGTTGGCAGTGGAGGTATTGGTGGTTTTGTCATGGTCATCAGTACGGCTGAAGATATAAAACCACATGTTTAGACAAAAAAACTATAACATAAAAAACTAAAACATAACCTAAATAAAAAATACTTACGTGGTTGATTAACCAATGCAATTAAAGGAGGGGGTAAAGTTTTAGGAATTTCGAAACCTCTCAATTTTAAATTAATTAATTTACAAGCTATACTAAATTCATTTATGTTCATTTTTCCATCAGCATCTGTATCAGCTAGGGCCCTAAAATTGTAATGAATATTGGTAATAAGATAAAAGTGAATTTCTTAACCATTTACCATATGATGCCAAGAATCGCAGGAGGTAGTTGAGACTGAAGGAGAAATCCTTTGGCTTGGTCACCGGTGACGATGCCATTGATAGGTTTGAGCGACAAGAACTGCTGCTCAAATCTTGCCCTCTCTGCAGGAGTGATTGTGTAAATGTCCATATTCATCTGTAATATTTAAGTTATTATGAATATGCTTGCCAAAACATACCACAAAATTATAAGGTTCACTGAATATTGTTCGTTCTATTTAAAACTATAAATTTGAGAATTAAAGCCCATTATTTAGTCTGATGCTTCTTAGTGAGATTTTTGTAATTAGACACTGACAGACCAAAAAAGTGAGAATGAATCCAGAAGATCAGTAATGACCTGAAACTACAGGTTCATCACCTCCCACACCACATGGAGAAATCCCACAACTTTTGTTAGTGATATTATTTATGCTGTAAACTTGAATTGCCTAAGCTATCGTAAATATGGTTGTTATTATAACTTAGTCATAGTCCAAAACAGGTTAGACCTGTGATTATATTTTTTTCTTTTGTTACTTGCAGAGTCGGGATTTTTATGTCAATTGGTAGTTTTTTCTACCATTATAATACATAATTTGGCCATTACTGATCAACCTGGTCTGTTGTTTTGACATTTTACCATATTTTAATATCTGATAATTAGACAAGAAATTATGAGAAAATGGTAAAATGCGACTGACAAACCAACACAGCGAGAATAGACAGACTAGGATGAACGGTAACAACCAAATGCAGGTTCATCACTTATCAGCAACTCCAAAAAATTTAATTCCAGCACTTGTAAAATAATTAGATTTATTATAATTAGATAATTATAATTAGATAATTATAATTAGATTTATAAATAATTAGATCAATCCATGATCTACAAGAAAAGCTGTTCTTCTAAACCAAGTTAATTGGTTGATTCTTAATTTTTACTGAGTAGAATTAAGATTTTCAAACAGATGTTAAGCAGTAATTACAAAGAAGTTTGCCTTTTTTTTTATAAACAATTTTACACCTTAAGCTGTAAATGTCATTGGAGTAAGTAAAGTAATTCTTGCTGTCAGACAGGAGGGCTTGACAGACTTGTTAAGCGACGCGGACAAACCACTTCACATTCCCTTATATTATTATGAATTCAAATTTCAGGGACTGGGCTAGGATTCAAAACCAGATGGCAAATACGAGTCGGACATATTAAAGCAAATGGTCTTGCTTTAAGTCAAGACAAATGTCATGGAGTGAGGAAATACTTGAAACACTGCCTTAATTTATACTTAGCAGAATATTGAAGTCTAAGAAAATTGAAATTTGACATTGATTTGGGATAAATAAAGTTTTTAACAATCAACTACACAGAAATTTGTAATTACTTAACTTAAACTTTTTTTTTTTTTAGTTTATAATGTTTCAGTAAATCAATATTTGCCAATAATATCAAACTGGAAGCAGTAAAGCTGACAAGGAGTGTGATAAATATGTTTTGTTTGTTTTAAGAAATTTATTTAATATATATTAATAACAAAATCCACAGTGGCCGGGTGGTTACTGAGTTCGGCTCCTATTTGCCGTGCTAGAGGTTCTGGGTTCGAATCCCGGCAGATCCCATGGCATTTTTAATTGATAACGGTACAAAAAATGTAAAGTGGTTTGACCCCTCCAACAGGTGGTTGGACGTTAAGTCCTCCTGTATTAGTAACAAAGCAATTAGATCATTCAATAATGATTCATTGGGCTTGAAAGAAGGAAATAGTTCTGTTAAACCAAGACAAAGAACTGAATTGTTTAAATAACATTTTATACAGTACAAATCAAGTTTATTAACAGTTTTTATCAATTATACCATAATACAGAAAGCTGTAAGTTAATGTTAATGTATTACTGTTAATACATAATACATGTTAATAGTTACTGTTAATCTATACATGTATTTAATGGTGTATAATTGATCGTATTAATTATTTTAATGAATTATTATTTCTAATCTGAGGTCTTGGTTGAGATGAAAAAGCAAGTGTCTCTAGCAGGATTCGAACCTACAATCTTCAGCTCAATATGCTGCACTGCTCGATTTGTCAGTATAGCTCAAGTGGTTAGAGCAGCGGCGTATTGAGCTGAAGGTTCAAATCCCACTCGTGACACTTCCTTTTTCATCTCAACCAAGACCTTAGATTAAAAGTATAATAATTAAAATAGTCAATATTCATGTTTATCTGGAAGACTTATTGTTCAAATTACTTCAGAATATTTAAAGTTAATGTCAATTTTTCCAAAAAAAAATCAAATATGAAGCTATAAAGTTGTCATGGCCTTTGTTAAAACTTGAAATCAAGTAGTAAACTTTAACACCACCTTTATGGAAACATCAATTTAAGTTTTTCTCAATCCTCTGCACAGTATATACAGCAAACATTCTTACACTTACAGAATCGATCTGACTTCCTATGCGGATCATACCGCCATCCTTTGCTCCCATAAAGACCCTGTCAATTCAACTACAAACCTGTTAAGCCATGTCACATCCCTTCAAGCAGTGGAAGATGACAACATATAAATAATACAATTAACCATACAAAAATGTGAACATGCCACTTTTACCAAATAATTTAAATAATTTACAATTAAATACTATAATCCCTATCCCACCAGCTAATGTAGTCCACTATCTTGGGCTATTCAAAGACACTTACATGGAACCCTCACACGCAACTTAAAAGACATCAACTAAACAGATGATTCAGACTTCTTAAAACATCACTGGATAGATGATGATCAAAACGGTCTTTACAAAATAAACAACTCATATATAACAATTTTGAGACCCATTTAGACAAACAGCATCGAACTGTGGGGTTCAGAAAAACATTCCAACTTTCAACGTATGCAATCCCTACAACAAAAATCCTTTTTTGTTGTACCATTTTGAACCATTTCTATGCTTCTTTTTATGTGTTAAATCATACCATTCACAATGACCTAATAACCACTACAAGTAAACTAGTGAAAAACCACTACAAGAAATTTCACAGTCAATTTCCAGTCACACAAATTCTGTCGGAAACCTATCATCCCGCACTTTTCCAAATAATCCTCCCCCAACGGCTGAAGTGTCTATGGCATTGCGACCTACTAAGTGATGGTAAATAACAGTGTAAGTGATTAATGCTAATATATAGGTGCCTAATAATGAGTAGTTTCTCTTTTTTTCTGTTTTATGCATAGTTTTGCATTCATTTTGTTTAGATTATGCTGAAAAACACAATCAAATTTATTTAAACACAACAAAACACACAAACGACACAGATGTAAATAAATAAAGAAAATAATAAATAAACTTTTTTCACATTATTCGCTTAATGGAACCGTTCTGATGTTAAACACAGATATCAGTATCAAATTTGTTAAGCTGATATGTGAGTAAAGCAGTACTGGCAGAAGAACTGTAAAGTTGGATATGGAATGTGATAAAATTGGATCGCTTTAACATAAACAACTTTAACACAACTGGACGGTTTCAACTATATCTTCCATACCGCTGGCTTCACCAATTGTTTCAATAACAACATGAATAACATAAACTGTAGAAAGACCAAACATATTGAATAAAATAAAAAAAGTACTAGTTTGCATCAATTTTCGAGTCAAAATTGCCCCAGGGGTGCCAGTTGTGACTTCATAACTGAACAGTTTCGACTAAATCTTCCATACCGTTGGCTTCACCAACTGTTCCAGTTCGACATGAACAACTAAAATATAGAAAAACCAAACATATCGAATAACTTAAAAAAGTAGTAGTTTTCATCAATTTTCAAGTCAAAATTGACCCAGAGGTGCCAGTTGTGACTTCACAACTGAACTGTTTCAACTACATCCTCCGTACTGTTGTCTTCACCAAATGTTCCAATAACTTGATATGAACAACAAAAATTATATAAAGACCAAGCATATCGAATTAAATAAAAAAATTAGGTTTCATCAATTTTTAAGTCACAATTGTCCCAGAGGTGCCGTGCCAGTTGTGATTTCACAACTGGGCGGTTTCGGCTACATCTTCCATACCATTGGCTTCACCAATTGTTCCAATAACTTGACAGGAACAACAAAAACTGTATAAATGCCAAATATATTGAATAACATAAAAAAATTAATAGTTTTCGTCATTTTTCATGTCAAAATTGTCCCAGAGGTGCCAGTTGTGACTTCACAACTGGACGGTTTCGACTACATCTTTATATCACTAGCTTCACCAATTGTTTCAATAACTTGACAATAACAACAAACAATGTATAAAGACCAAACACATCGAATAACAAGAAAAACTAGTAGTTTTCATCATTTTTCAATTCAAAATTGTCCCAGAGTTCCAATAATGACACGAACAACGAAAACTGTATATAGACCAAACACATTGAATAACATCAAAACATCATTGTCTTCACCTGCTGTATATACTTTAACAGTTTTAATTATTACAAAAAGAAATTACTCAAATTTTACTTGTTCCTTTTACCTCAAGCTTGGTTAAAGCAAGTGCAGTTTTTGTGCCAGTAGTGAAAAGTTTGTTCAGTCTCAAAGGTAGTGGTTAATACAGTTGTAATTCGATTTGAAAAATAACCCGAGTTAGTCAAAGATATTGTATTTAAATTTATTTAAAGCATTTAATGGTCTGAGAAGAGTAGACTTTTACCTTCACTGTATAGGCCGGTCTATTCCGTTCAGCTCCTTAACATCCGGTCACAATGATTTTATGTATATGCACATCTTTTATTCCATAGGTTTGAAATTTTAATTATTTTTTTAACGACTTTAGTTACTTTTATCACTCGTGTATGATATGAAAAGACGAGGAAAAAATCAATATTATAGAATAACCACGGGAAGGCGAGTCTTAGAGGCTAGACACTAGATTTGTTCTCTCTCGATTATATACTTTTTAAATAAGGATTATGCGTTATAAAAATCACCAGCCTTCTCTTCGATTAAAAAAGCTAATTAAAAAAACAATTACTTTGGTGCGAACTTACAAATAAAATAAACCTAATCAGGGTGGTCGAACGTCGATGATACGGGGATATGACAAGAGACTAGGGACAAGAGAGCCTCGGGACACGGCAGCTACGCCTCGAGCGGCCTAGGTCGAAACTTTACAGAGTTGGATTTCAAATAACTTTACAGGGGGAACGCCGTCGTGTGATATCCAGTTGGAAAGTGAATACCGAACCGGAGGGTCGTCCTCTGTCTCTCTGGAAAAATTTTTTGTTTTTAATTTTTGCTTTTTTTTAATATCTTTTTACTTTAAACAACTTCCTTCGAGGTAAGTTTTTAATTTTTTTTTGCAAATTATAAATGGGCATATTTTACATTCTATCAACAAAAATTATCAATATGTATAGTTCATGTAAGAAAGCAACATATAAGTCTTTTAATATTACTTAAATCAAGTAAATAACAAAAAAGTTGTTTATATACCAAAGTGAATACATAATATAACAAAATATCAACAGCTCGCATATGTTACACTATCCGTTAAAAAAAGACAGATAATCAATTAAATACATCGTAATTTTATACGCATTCACCTGTAACTAAACAATAAAATAATTTGTTCCCACAGAACTTGAAAGGATAAAGATATCTAAAATTTATCTTCTACCTCACTACACTTCCATAACAACTAAATCCATCCCTTGAAAGACCTAAATTTTTTTCAAAATGCAAGTCGTTTAAAAAATTAAGAAGGAATAATTAGCGACAATGAAATTAGCAACTCATATTTTTTTTAATTTTAATGTAATTATTTGAAGAGGGGAATCTATTCTTTTCGTGGTTCTCTTTCGGGGATAAAAGAGTTTTATCTTGTGCATCCGGTTATACGAAAAGGACTACAATATTTGCATACGAATTAGTCATTCAGCGAGTCTTAAGTTTTGTTTTGTCGTTAAATAAACGGTAGACAGTACGTAAATATTGCCTTTTACCTGTTATTTTAACGTATTTTTAGATGTTTTACATTCAAAATCTGTGGTAGAACCTAAAGCAACTTAGTTCTTTCAGAAATGTGTGGTGATTAGTGACCGTTAATCGATATTTATTTAGAAATCGTGAGATGCGGTCTGGTGTCATATAGGTTTCTATGTATTTCTACGCACTCAGTGTTTGTGAGTAGAAATACTTTGATTGAATATAAAAAAAATATATTTTGCATTGTATAAATCCACTTTTCCACATCCAAAATGTAATTGTAATATATAAACAATGTTTGTAAATCCCAGGCCCTGAAGATGATCTCAATAAAGATCGAAACGTTGGCACGATAAAGAAATTGTTTTTTCTGAAACCTACATCACACCAGACCGCATCTCACGATTTCTAAATAAATATTAGTTCTTTCATCTGTAAATTTACAATTAGAGTTACCTGGCAGGTATTCTTTCGTCTGATGTTAATCGTTCCAGGAGGGATGTTGAATTTTTTATAAATACATATCAATTGGTGTTACACATTTGTTTGTCGAACTTTTTGGATTAAAATCTGTAAAAAACCTAAAACAAATTGAGTTCTCTCGTCTATAACTTAGATTAGGGAAATCTTGCAGACATTCTCGTATATATTTTGATTTTAATCGTTCCAGGAATATATGTTTACTTTCTTATAAATACAGATTAGTATTATAGATTTTTTTAGAAGTTGTTATATTAAAACTTTCAAAAACCTTAAGCAACTTGAGTTCTCTCATCTGTAAAGTTATGATTAGGGAAATCTTGCAGACATTTTCATATATATTTTGATTTTAACGTTTCAACAAGCGATCTAGAATTCTTATAAATATACATCTATTGATTTTTGGGAAGTTCTTATATTAAAAACTGTCGAAAAACCTAAAGCAACTTAAGAAGTTTTCTCACTTGTCAATTCAAAGAAGAAATATTGCAAGTTTAAAGAGAAATATTGGCGTTTCACAAAAAAAAAAAAAAAAAATTATAAAAAGTTCACAAAATGCTTTTTACATAAACGACCTTTTGGTGTTAAAAATATATTGTGCTCAACATAAATGAAATTTTTTCGACATGTTAAGCCAAACCTTTATGTTGTAGGAAATGTATGCAGAGTATGTTTGTGAATTTTTGCATTAAAAACTATTGTAAACATCAAAAAGGGTTGTTTTATTCGGTGTTAATTTAACAATAGGAAAAATCTACGTAATTTTGATGACAAGTATTGTTTATTTTGCTTTGAAATGATGGTACTTTACTTGCAATAAAAGTTTTTTTAGAACTTAAGACATCCTGTATTTCTTACAAACACATTGGTGGTAAGGTTTTTTTAAATAAATAAAATAATAAATTATAAACGTGCATACTACATATTCTAACAACAAAAATTTAATTAAATAACGTAGATAACACGAAAAATTATTTATATATCAAAGTGAATACATCGTATAATAAAACATCAACAGCTCGCATATGTTACACAATTAGCTATAAAAAAAAATATGGTCAATTAAATACATCGTAATTTTATACACATTCACCTGTGACTAAACAATACAATAATTGGTTCCTATACAACTTGAAATGATAAAGATATCTAAAATTAATTTTGTACTTCACTAAACTTCCATAAAAACAAAATCCCGTATAAATCCATCCCTCGAAAAGCCTAAAAAATTTTGTTGTTCAAAAACCTAAAGCGAGTTGAGTTCTCTTATCTGTAAATTGACAATTAAAGATTTCTTATATGCATTCTCGAAGATATTCTGCTTTTTAATGTTTCAATAAGCGATCTTGAATTTCTCATAAATATACATCTATTGTTGTTATACATTTTTTGTGAAGTTTTTGTGAATGTGTGAAGAATTAAACCTTCGAAAAACCTGAAGCAACTTAAGAAGTTTCTTACAAACACATTGATGGTGTCTCAACATTGTCCGTCTAAATATAAAAAGTAAATTATATACAAGTTTACTCTAACTTAAAAATTTCACCGTCAGCCCGAGAATCTTTCTAAGTATGGTGGTTACCCCAAATTTCACCGTAGAAACACGTTGAAATTATTACGTTTCACCGTAATAATTTATCAAGCTGGAAGGAAAACCCTCAAATAACTCCGCTAGAGAAATATATTGAAGTTTGAAGCCCGAGGTGAATGGGTTATTTTCAGAACATGATATACTTTAAATCCTGTTCAAAGCAAAACATTTAATTCGATATTATTTTGACCGGAAACTGTTCCTAAATGAAATAGATTCAAATTTGGATGGAAAAAAATCTATTGACTGCTCAAGCTTTCACGACTGCAATCTAAATATAAAAATAAACTTACTCAGGCATACATGAACTTACTAACTTTTTCAAGTTGGCCCAAGAATCTGTTTAAAACGTCAAGACAATTTGGATCAATTTGAAGCATGGAGATAATAGAATTATCCGATACTAAATATTCAAATGTTAAATTTTTTTCCATGACCTTTGGACTAAGGGAGTTTTGTCGATTTAACACATACTCATCGGCTTTATCTTTATGTATCACTGTAGAACTAAAGATTAGTACGAATGTGTGATTATTTTTTTTAATATCAGCTCATTTATTATTCAAAAGTTAATTAGTAGTGAATAGTAATATTTTCTTCTAAAACATGGTTCATTCATAAAATACATTAAAATAAGATTTAACGTGACATAAATGTTATGTAATTTTCCGATTGACCGACGAATAAAATCTACTAGGATAAATTTATATGTTGATTCAATTGACACTAGGCAGATTGTTTGTTTTTTGAATAATTATTTGCATCTGTAAATATTAACGGAAGAGAACACAATTTTTATTCAAAGTTTCGAATAGAATTTTAGAAAGTAGTGAAAAGTACTTTTTTCCGTCCTCGACCCACCGTACCTAAGGGGCTACTTGGCATGCTAAAATTACAATTTTTGCGGAGGGTTTTGGTTTTACCCATAAATGGAAGGCCCCCCCTTTTTTAAATAGTGTCTGGAAGAGCTTATAAAATATTTAAATTTATATATTAAAATTTTACATGGTCTAATTAAATCAAGAAGAAAACATCCCGAGATAACATTTCCTAATCTAATTAAACCTAATAAAACAAATAAATTAGAAATAAAAAATCCAACAGAGTATTATGACAATTTTTGTAAAAAGCTTGGAGTTGAGACGTTTGGACTAGGTCGTTGAGAGTGGGCGGCCAGTTATGTCTCACTCTTTCTCAAACTCCTTGCTGATTGATCTTGTGCTTGATATCCTCATTTATGGAGGTAACCTGCAAAGTTGCCCTGCCCTGTCATAGTTTGGCTAGTCTTGAGGAGTCTAGTCCATTTTGTTTAGGTTCATCTCGAACCGACTGATTGGTCAGCCTGCTTTTAACGCTATTTTTCCACCTTTCTTGCCATTTTTCCTCTGCCCATTTGACCCGAAACCAAGGCCTAGGAAAATTATAATCTTTTACATGAATTTAAACTTACATCTGGTCAAACCTATTGGTCAGCATTTCGAGGCTCCTCAGTTTTGGACTATGATCGTTTTTCCTCTGTTCTCCTCAAAACAGTGCCTTTTGACACAATCAGGTCTGTAGGAAAGCGGAGTGCATCCGTCATCCTCAGCAAAATGACACTTTGGCCCTGTTCAAAAAACAATTTTGTTTTGCTTCTCAGCTTAGCCTATGCTGCTGCGCCATAAGTTGCAGTGGAAAGGTAAACCCTTTTATGGAAGATGTGTAGGGCCTTTTAGCTTAATCACCATATGGATTTTGTAATGCTGAGTTTGGGGTCATCTTATACCCTTATTGCTTTGTGGCACTGAGCTTTTAACTTATTTCTACTCCCGAGTATCTTACCTTAGTGCTCGGCTTGATTGATTTTCCCTCTATTTCAATAATCGGTTCTGAGTGCCTTTTATGGTTTGGCATTTTTTCAATTCTTTCAGCACACCAGTTTGGGGTGACATTTACAACTTTTTCAGCTTTCTCGTTTATCTATAAGCACGATTCAACAAAGGCAGCGAAAAAGACCCTTTCCTCCGTTAGCCTCTTAAGCAGATCATCAAAGACCGTGTCATAGAAAAAAGGGCCTAGGACAGACCCTTGAGGACATCCCTTTACAACGCTAATACAAGAGTACGCCTTGTCGCTACTTCGCCGGTCCTTTTTCTGAAGGAGCTAACAATAAGCATGTATTGCGGACAGTTTTTGGACTTCAGTTCTTTCAGAATGTGGACCCATTCCACTCCAGCGAAAGCCCCTTGGATATTGAAGAAGATTTCCATTGTAACCTCAGTTGATAATCCTTTTCGTCTTCA